CTTCTTGGGAAACGGTGTTGTAAAGAGGGTCTTTTGTGAACAGTTTATTATCCTCGGCCTTTTCATATATCCGCATCTCAAGAACGGAGTTCACTTTAAGTGGAGATACGGAACGGTAACCATAAACCTTTTGATTTGTTTCAGGGCTTGTGAATGCAAAACAATGCGTCGTTTGAGTTACACTTAGGATTTTTACTCCTAGGAATATTGTGTGTTATACAGAAAAACTGAAGCTGTACGAGATGTGTCAAATGGTTTAACGATACGGGTACATCAGTTAAACCTTCTCCAATCAAAATGTGTTCCAACATGCAACCCCTAAACCTTCTTATTTCTTAACCAAATTTTGCAGCCTGAACATTTGTAGAAAATAATGTTTTTCGACATCCTCTGCTTCCACAAAATTCCGATACTTTTTTATCTGACTTGTCCGCTGCGACTTGACTGAGGTTTGTGTCTCGAGGCTAAACGACTACGGGTCTTAGCTAAAGTATTGCCGGTTTTGGCTACAGAAATGTGGGTCAAGGCTAAAGGATTGTGGGTTTTGGCTAAAGCATGATGGCAAAAGGTGTAGTGAACCTCGTCGCAAATTCAATGCTACAGGCCTCGCTTCCTCTTAATGTGAACTTGAAATGGATCCAATTCGAAATTACTGTAGTCTGAATGAGTTTACCTACGAGGTAGGAATTCGGAGTGACAGTTGCGTTTGAGCTAACGATCCCCTGGGATGTTCAGCAAAAACAGTTCAGTGTGAGACAAACAAACCCACATAGCGTGCCTTTTCAAGTATTTTTCTCTCAGGTACTACATCATCGTCTTTCAGTGATCGCTCCCTTGAAGCGAGAGCGATACAACACTGTGAATTTGGCCACTTCCACGCTTTGCGATAGACGATCAAAAGGGTTCAATCGATCAGGGTGTTGAAAAATCGATCTTGTTCAAATGACGAGCAAATGTTTCTCCGGAGATTCCACTGAGCCAGCCGCGTCTCACTTTTGCCGTAAACATCCATACTCGAGAAAATCAGATCGATTGTCTGCGGAAGAGATATTTAAACCAGTTCTTTCAACATACAGAGGACTGTTCAACATTATCATTGTTTTTTGCTGTGATTTGCTGCCCTTGTATTCTGTACCGCATTGACATCGCCAGGAAGTTTACGCCGTCAAAAAACTACAACAACAAACGAATGCAATATTAGGTCACTTTCCGGATGACAGTTCACTCACTTGCCAAGAAAACTCCTCTGAATTTAAGGTGACCATTACTCACTGTTATCCGTACTGATAGGACTGGAACAACCTTATGTCTATGACTCGTGTTTGGTGGGAGAGAGCAAAGAAGGAATCGGAAAGTCATGAAAGACTTGTATGTCAGACGCTGTTTCGATCTAACCATGGCTATCGAGTACTGTTCAGAATGTATTCGAGGTTCATTCTGTGAGGCTAGTGGGGGGATGAGTGGGATTGAAACTCATGTTATTGTTTGCCCTGAGGCTTCACATCTACTCCGAACACGGTTTGCTACCACGGTTTTGCCACCACGTGTTTTGACATGGGTACCGGGAGTAGTTGACGCATACAAAATTCGATGATAGCTGAATCGAAAATAGTGGTAACGGACGTTCAATTTTCACTGGAATTCGATTGCACCTCTATCCAGCAATCACACATATGTACACACAAGAGGAGCACGCAAGTGTTTATCGCAAGAACTATGGCTCTTCCTTTTTCCCCACAACCGAATTTATACTATTTGTCCAATCCACACATCGAAAGGCAAGAGAAATGCAGTTTATTAGTGGCATTGTCAAACTGTTTGACCTGTTCAGTTTCATTGCAGTTGTAGTGTGAGTGGTCCGCGAGCTCATTGCTTAGGTATATTACGGTCTATTCTGAGAAACGTAGCATAAACTCAATTAAATGAATAACTAACTCATATAATGGGGAAAGGTGATCTGCGGCGGGGCGCGCTATCCTAGAATCTCATTAAGTGCAATTTGATTCATTTTTCTCAAACATCCACGAAACCGGTTTAGTTCAAGCATATTATTATTTACAGGCGTGGTCCCAGATACATTCAGATAGTAAAAAAACCTGACAACAAAACAGTCAGAATAATAAGTTGTCGCCTTGGTACTTAAACTGTCTTACAAGGATTGCGCGATCAAACCTAAGATTTTCCCTGTTGTTATGTAACATCCGTCGATCACAGTGGATAAAGTGACTGATCGCGCAAAGCTGATATCTAGGTGTTACGTGTTACCGCAGGGTGGTGGTGGCGCGATGGTTAAATCGCTGTCGCCGGTGTGCTTTGGACCCTACGGTCCAAGGTTCGAGCCCCGCCACCGCCTCCCAACTTTGATGGTCAGCGGTTTTGCTATCGTCCGGTTCAATACCACACCTGAACCAGCGGGCCCTTATGTGGTTCGCCACTCCAATTCCCGGGGCTTAGTCTACCGATTTCCATCAATGAACAACAGGTCCTCGTGACTATAGGGTTTACTTCACCTGCTGTTCATCACTAAAGTGTGTAATAAAAATGGGCATTTCAGAGGACGAACGTACATTCACACTTCGAATCGACAATCGGGATGATAATATCTGTCAGTTGTAGATTTCACTCAGTTTTCGGTCTTAGATTAGAGATGAAAAAACTATTAATTTCTCGTCACACATTAGAGCAAAACAAAGCGCATAGTGATGCAACAATTAGTAAGGTTAGCAGTAGGACTTCAAGTGACAAATTCCATGCAGACACCACCACAGCACCACGTCTGTCAAAATTGCGGTAACACCCTTTTTGTTCCACACTAAACAATGGGAAGTTACGAAACATGGTGTCATTGCTCTCCTTGTTTTTATGCTCTTCCATTTCTTGTTGGTTCCATGTACAGCAACAATCAGTCCTGAAGAAAGTTTGTTGCGACCAATCACCGGTGTAGCTGAAGTTCCCTGGACAGTGTCATCTGAACCTCTTACTGTAGCAGAAGTTCGTTCTTTCATCCAAGCCGTGAAGAAAGGAAAAGCAGCAGGACCGGACGGGTTTCCTCCCAGTCTTTTCAAAATGTAGACTCCATTACTGATGTAATGCGTAACATCTGGTCTCACAAACACATTCCATCATCCTGGAGCGACTCATTCCAATTTTTAATAAGGGATCTTACAACGACTGCACAAACTACCATGGATCAAGTCTAATCCTGATCGTCACCAAGTTACTAGCCTCCATTATACTTCGATGTCTGACGCCGTTTGAGGAAACAAACATCCGTGAACAACAAGCAGGATTTCGACCAGGTCGCGGTTGTATCGACCAAATCTTCAATCTGCGTCAAGTCCTCGAGCTACACCATACGCATCGTCGACCAACGGTTGTCGTGTTCCTTG